CATTTAATCAATGGTTGTGTTAACACATATTAAACATCTATTTATACAATGAATAGCATATATGGACACAACATACCAGTGTCTTAACCCCGGTGCCACAACTCGTAAACGGCTAAAACCTGAGCCGTACAGTGTATTTGGTTACGATTGCAAAGGGAGTGTCGATAATATCCTAATCATTGATAAGAAATTATTTAAATGTTTGAGAAATTGTTGGAATCTGACCATGGACGATCTACGCAACTGGTCGGCCAAATCGTGTTGCTTTGAATACGAGTTGCATCGCGGGGTTAAGACACTGGTATGTTGTGTCCATATATGCTATTCATTGTATAAATAGATGTTTAATATGTGTTAACACAACCATTGATTAAATGTATGGTTAGGTTTACAAACACTGTCGTAAAGATGAGGGCAAACCAGACATCAGTGATAAGCCGCTGAAATCCATTTGCATCAACAAAAAGGGATATCCATTGAGTGATAGCTTTTGCAACGGTCTGTCCGGTCGGCTACCGATGGGCGCCGAATGCGACCATATTGTTGACAGTCTGGCCAAAGGTATTGATCCCTACCCGACGCCCAGCCAGTCCGTTACCGTTAGTGTCCGTCCGCCACAGCATTCCGGTCCCAACCAGTCATCCACTGCCAGACCTAACTCGCAGTCGACCGCAGTTTCCGTATTATTGGCGGCAATAGTGGTGTCGATAGCCGGAGATGTCTATGACTTTTGTCCGCACTTTCAGTTAGTGTTATCTCTATTTGACGTAAAACTCAAGTCTTTCGTTGCAATCAATTATTTTGTTTACAAAATGTTATCAACTTTTTATTTTATATTTTATTTCTATATTTTATTTGTTTTTATAAATAGTATTTTTTGTGTATAATTTTAAAACGCAAACTTTTATTTGTTGTGTTTTAATTTAGTTTTGAATTTTACTATAGATTAGGCCTGGCCAATCTTTTTTAGCATATCACATATACAGATTCACAGTATGCCATAAAAA